AAAAAAGAATGAAAAATCTTAGAACGAAGGAAACTACAGAGGCAGTACAACTAAATACAACTGATTTTGTACTAGACCCTCTGCTATAAAGGACAAAATTGACACAATTGGTGAACCTTGAATGAGGTCTGAGGACTGGATGGTAGAAATGTAGCAATGCTAATTTCATGATTTTTAAAAAAGATTTTACTCATTTATTTTTAGAGACAGGGTAAGGGAGAAAGAGAGGGAGAGAAACATCCATGTGTGGTTGCCAGGCATGTGCCCTGACTAGGAATCAAACTGGCAACCCTTTGGTTCACAGGCCCACGCTCAATCCACTGATCTACACCAGCCAGAGCTAATTTCATGATTTTTTTAAGATTTTATTTATTTATCTTTAGAGGGGAAGGAGAGAGGGAGAGGAACATCAATGTATGGTTGCCTTTCGTGCGTCCCCTGCTGGGAACTGGCCTGCAGAGAACCGGCCTGCAACCCAAGCATGTGCCCTGACTGGGAATCGAACCACGATCGTGTGGTTCGCAGGCCCGAGCTCAATCCACTGAGCTACACCAGCCAGGGCTAATTTCATGATTTTGATGGTTGTATTGTAGTTCTGTAGGAGAAAGTCCTTGTTAGTAGCAAATATACAATGAAGTATCCAGGGGCATCAGGTCAACAGCTTACCTCAAATTGTTGAGGAAAAAAAGTTTTTTATGCTGTTCTTACAACGCTTCTATAAGTTTGAGATTATTGCTTTAATATTAAAAAATTTTGAAACAAAGTATTCAATGTGCCTAGTCATGACATCACTTAAAAAGTGGAAAAAAATGTGAATAGCTATTGCCTGCAAGAAGGCTACTGTTTGTCTAGAGAGATGAACTAACATCACTGGGTACAAATTATTACTAGGAGGCAAATCTCACCTCAATATAACCTAATGCAATTAGAGTTGTCCAAAACCATCAACAAGACTACCCTGTGAGTCAGTGAATTCTCTGTCCAAAAATACTCAAATAAACATCGGAAGTTCACTTTACACAGATATTGCTACAGGCATTTTCTTTGGAAGAGAAACTAGACTAGGTGCCATAAATGTCCTGTTCAACTTTAAGGGACTAGTATGTCACGGTTCTACTTCTTTTAAATAGAGCTCTGCTTTGAATCCTGTATAATCACTGTCCTAGAATAATATTAAAGACCTCTCAGGCACCGCTACCTTCTTCAGAACCCTGCTATTGTCTTGAATAATACTAAAGCCTTAGATTCTGCAATAAAGATTTTTAAAAGCTTTTTTAAACTTATTTATTTTTAGAGAGAAGGGAAGGGAGGGAGAAACATCAATGTTAGAGAGAGAAGCATTGATTGTCTGCCTCTCATACACATCCTGACAAGGACCTGGCCCACAACCTAGGCATGCGCCCTGGCTGGGAATTGAACCCCTGACCTTTGCTTTGCAGTACTATGCTAAGCCCACGGAGCCACTCCAGCCAAGGCTACAATAAGGATTGTTAACCAGCCAGAGTATCCAAGCACTTCAGGAAATCTCACTCTTTACCTAAAAGACTTCTACTTATCAATCAATACCTACCTCCAAGGTTCCCTATGCTGTGGAATTCATCTCAGGTTTCCAAAGTAGAATTAGTGTCATCCTTTTGGTTTTCATACCACTTTGCATGAAAGCACTGCTTCTTTTAAAGCAGGACTGATTGATTCTATTGTATATTTTAACTTGTAAAATATTTTTTTCCTTAAAGATGGGTGCAGCCATGACTGGTGTGGCTCAGTGGGTTGGGTATTGTACCGTGAACCAAAAGGTCACAGGTTCGATTCCCAGTCAGGGCACATGCCTGGATTGCAGGCCGGGTCTCCAGTTAGGGTACAAAAAAGGCAACTGATCAATGTTTCTCTCTCATATAGATATACCTCTCCCTCTCTTTCTCCCTCCTTTCTCTTCTCTCTAAAAGTAAATAAATAAAATGAAAAGTCTGGTATTGGCATAAGAATAGACACATAGATCAATGGAACAGAACAGAGAATCCAGAAATAAACCCAGGTCTCTATGGCTAATTAATGTTTGACAAAGGAAGCACAAGCATACAATGGAGTAAAAATAGCCTCTTCAATAAATGGGTGTTGGGAAAACTGGACTGGTATGTGCAAAAATAAAGAAGAAGAAACTGGACCACCAACTTACACCATACACCAGAAAAAACTCAAAATGGATAAAAGACTGAAATATAAGTCATGACACGATAAAGGTCCTAGAGCAAAACATAGGCAGGAAAATCTCAGATATACCATGTAGCAATATTTTTGCTGATATATCTCCAAGGGTATGAAAAATAAAGAAAAAATAAACAGATGGGACTACATCAAACTAAAAAGTTTCTGCAAGGCTAAAGAAACCATCACCAAAATGAAAAGGGAGCCAACTATATGGGAGAACATATTTGCCAATGATACATCAGACAAGAGTTTGATCTCCAAAATATATAAAGAACTCATATGACTCAATGCCAGGAAGACAAACAATCCAATTAAAAAAATAGGCTAAGGACCCGAACAGATATGTCTGCAAGGAGGACATACAGAGGGCCCAGAGACATATGAAAAGATGCTCAACATCACTAGCCTTCAGAGAGTTGTAAATTAAAAGCACAATGACATATTACCTCACACCTATCAGAATGGCCATCATAAATAAATCAACAAACAGCAAGTGTTGGCCAGGCTGTGGAGAAAAGGGAACCCTAGTGCACTGTTGGTGGGATTACAGACTGGTGCAGCCACTGTAGAAAACAGTATGGAATTCATTCAGAAAACAAAATGGAACTGTCTTTTGACTCAGTAATACCACTGCTAGGATTATATCCTAAGAACCCTGAAACACCAATCCAAAAGAACTTATGCACCCCATTGTTCACAGCAGCACAATTTACAATAGCCAAGTGCTGGAAGCAGCCTAAGTGGCCATCAGCAAATGAGTGGATCATAAAGCTGAGGTACATTAACACAATGGAATACTACACAGCAGAAAGAAAGGAGGAACTCCTTCCTTTTGAGACAGCATGAAGGGATATGGAAAGCATTATGCTAAATGAAATAAGCTAGGTGGTGAAAGACATAACCATATGATCTCACCTGTAACAGGAATCTAATGAACAAAATAAACTAACAAACAAAATAGAACCATAGGAAACAAGGAACAGACTTAAAACAACCAGAGGGTGGGGGGAGAGGGATAATAGTGGAAAGAAGGGGAAGGGACTAGTTAAAGGGCATGTATGAATAACCCATGAACATTGACAACAGTGTGTAAATTGACTGTGGGAAGGGAGGTGCGATGGGCAGATGAGGGCAAACGGGGGAAAATTGGAACAACTGTAATAGAATAACCATAAAAACTGATTTAAAAATAACAATAAGCCCTAGCTGGTATGGCTCAGTGGATTGAGCACCAGCCTGCAAACCAAAGGGTCGCTGGTTCGATTCCCAGTCAGAGCACATGCCTGGGTTGTGAGCCAGGTGCCCAGTAGGGGGTGCACGGGAGCAACCATACATGGATGTTTTTCTCCCTCTCTTTTTTCCTCGCTTCCACTCTCTCTAAAAATAAATAAAATCTTTTAAAAAATTAAAATTAATAAAAATATTTTTAAAGGGTGCAAAAAGCTTAAAATTGTTTATGCACCAAAAATTATGTATGTAGTCATCTACTTCTATTCCTACCCCTGAGCTTTGCATTCCTCCAGGGCCTCGAAGCTCTATTATTTATCTCTAGATACTTCCACAGGTCTTGCAAGTGCATGGGCCTCATCAGCACCCATCAAAGAGCTTCGAATCTAATGAGGTCCCAAGACAAAAAAAAAAAAACAAAACCCAAAAACAGAATATATGAAAGCGAAAGCACAGCAGAACCACAGAAAGCAAACAGAGCACAAAACTAGTTTCAAGGGTACAAGATACTTTCCCAAGTTACATTGCACTAGTTCCTAGACTATGGCCTTTTTGAAGGCAGGACTCATGTTTCATCCATTCCTGTATTTGTAACATCCAAGCACAATGCCTGACACATAGTATATGCTCAAGAACCGTTTGAAGAATGAAGTAGCCTCACCTTTAAATATGCCTTTTATGAGTGGTGCTACTGCTGTATTGAAGACTTCTTCCTGTTCAGTAGAGGGATCAAACACAAAATCGTAGGTGAAGGATTTGTCATTACCAACCACCACCTAGAGAAGGCAAAGGGGCAGGGACAAGAAGTAAGAAAATAACGAAAGGCCAGACCACGCCCCTCACTGTCATTTGGCCTCGGATTTTCAGACTCCGGGCCAGACTGTGCTACGCACCTGCGGTTCCCCGGGTACGAAGGAAAGGCACATCTGGCAGCCCTCACTAATCTCTTTGGGGACCAGAGGGCGACATCGCAGTGCCACTTTTACAGGAATTCCCTTCACCTCTTCCTTCATCATCCTACCTCAGCACCGTCTGTGAGGGGAAAAAAAAAGAAAATAGGCTTGCTGATGAATCTTGGTGGGTTGGCGAGGGCGGGGAGGGTGTCCTCCCTTAGTTCCGGCCCTCCACTAGGGGTGGGAGATGGTTTGCGGGACTCCGAGTAGGTGAGGGAGCCTCCTCCTTGCTACGGGATCGCTGCCGCTGGACAGTCACTTTCCCTCCGATTTGGCCACCACAGGACTATCCCACAGCCCGACACTCTGAAGACAGCGAAGTGACCTCTGAAATGGAAAGGAAAACCCCCAGCGGAGACGATGACAAGGACCCACAGCCTCAGGGTACCGGCAAAGGCAAATGCTGGGCTAAATTGCGACCCCTTAACTCGCCAAACTAAACGTACCTTCCCGGGTCTTCTGCTGCCCTGTTCCAACCGGAGATTTAACCGCCAAGTTTCAAATTGGTAGTGGAGGCGCCAGCCAATCGGAGCGCAGACAACCGGCGGGAGGTGCGCGCACCTCAGCGTAGCGTGAAGGACGCTTTTGGGAAGTTGTGGGCATGCGCGTCGCACCATGATCCCGCCCCTACCTGCCAGTCAAAACATCTGCTTCCGGTCCTCCGGCCGAATTGGCAGCGAGTGGAACCTGAGCTGGCTGAGCCTTGTTGGCGGGTGAGATAGTACTGCAATTACCGCTTTGAATGCACGGGGCTCAGGCAGGATGCGAGGAGCATATTCGAAGGTGGCTAGTGGTGAAGGGACGGTCGGTCTGAGGATCTTCACCATTACCGATCAATTGTACAAAATGTGGGGCGGTGCCTTCCCTCCACTCCCTGTTCATTGTTGGAGTCAGCACTCCCTTGGATTTCGAAAATAGATCTTTTTAGACGCGATTTTGCTTGCCTGTTCTGTAAGTTGAAGACAGTAACATCTGTTTTGTAGGAGTGTTATAAGAAAGATCATCTATAAAGGACCTAGCAGGTTGTTCAACGTCCAGATACCCAGTAAAGTTCATTGTTTTCTTCCATCTTTTTTCTTTCCTCTTTCCACCAATCTGTGCCCTAGAAGTGGGCTAGGACCATAGGATGACGGCCCGGGATAGGTTGGATTTGTTTTTTGAAAGTTGCTAGCTGCTGTCCCTTTTAAACCATTTTTATCAGCTTTGATTCACCTTTTCATTACAGAGCTTTGCCAAAGATGGACAGCCGAATTCCTTATGATGACTACCCAGTGGTTTTCCTGCCAGCCTATGAGAATCCCCCAGCATGGATTCCTCCTCATGAGGTGGGAACCATCTGTACTCTTGAATAGCAGCAGATTTTTCCCCACGGGCATAAGATGATATATTAAACATAGGATAGCACAGTTAGAAAGCTCAAAGGAGAATGAATCTTAGCCTTTTCTGTAGCCAAGGGACCCCTTAGTTGGATTCTGAGTAACTGGGTCCACTGGAAGCTTCTTATGGAATCCTTCTGCCAGAGTCCATTCACATCACAGAATTCTGGAAATTTAGAGCCCCAGTTTCCATTCTCTTAAGGTAAAGACGTGGGGAGCCACTGGATTGCTAGCATGTCCCCAAGCTGTTCATCTGCCCATTTGGACAGTGTTATCTGGTCTATTTAAGCTAAGCCCATGCTTTTACCTTTTCCTAACTTCAGGGAGACACATTTGTGTTCCAGATGAAAATGGGTATAAAATCTAAATCTGCTAGTAAGATTTCTGGGTTTGCTGTGTCTTGCAGAGGGTATACCACCCAGACTACAACAATGAGTTGACCCAGTTTCTGCCCCGAACTGTCACACTGAAGAAGCCCCCTGGAGCTCAGGTGAACTTGTGGAACAATTACAATTCATCTTATACCAGGCTAGATTTGTCCATACCATGCGCAGAACTTATCTGTGGTTGGGAGGACAGATTTAGAAGCAGGTAAGGAGGTGGGGAAACTACCTTTACTGGGCAGAAAAGCTGAGATGCAACTTCCAACTTCTCTCTGAGGGACACATATCCCAGCTAGCATACAGTGATAGTACTAGATATTCTTGTGTTTGTGGTCTATATTGAGCCCCCATTCTGTGCTCCTGTCTTGCAGTTGGGATTCAACATTCGAGGAGGAAAGGCCTCCCAGCTAGGCATCTTCATCTCCAAGGTGCGTGCACCTGGTAGGCAATATGGGTAGCTACTTACATTTGTTATATTGCAGAACCATGATGTTTCAAGGCCTCGGAGAAGGATGATTTTGTAGACTCATAGAAGGGGCATAATGGGAACAGGCTTTCCCACTTAAAACTTCCCACCTGAACCCTGGCTGGTGTGGCTTTGTTGTTTGGGCATCATCTTGAAAAGCAAAAGGTCACTGGTTCAATTCCTGGTCAGGGCATATGCCTGGGTTGTGGGTTCAGTCCCTGGTCTGAGCATGTGCAAGAGACAACCAATCACTGTTTCTCTCACACGTGGATGTTTCTCTCCCTCTCTCCCTCCCTTCTCTCTCTAAAAATAAATAAATAAAATCTTAAAAAACAAAAATACTTCCAATCGGGCAAGCATATTTGCCTACATTTTCACACACACAAACAGTAGCACCTTCCATTTTAATAGCACTTAATTTCACTTACAGTCTCTGAAATTCTCCCACCTCGATCACATATTCTCTCCTTCCCAACAGGTGATCCCTGACTCTGATGCACATCGAGCAGGACTTCAGGAAGGGGACCAAGTCCTGGCTGTGAATGATGTGGATTTCCAAGATATTGAGCATAGCAAGGTGAGCACAGTGTTTTGGGCTGTGCTGTGGCAGGAAGCGATCCCAAGTAGGACAGATCAGATGGGATTTGCCAAATCTGTGTGTAACTTGATAAGAAAGAATCTTTCCTGAGGAAGTGTACTGGAGAGAAGCAGCTATTAGTGATCCAGAAGGTTGGAGTGGCAAAGGACTTTTTTCCTCTTGCTATTCTGTGCTGAGTCATATCTTATTTGTACAAGCTGTTGTGTTCCTTTCAGGCTGTTGAGATCCTGAAGACAGCCCGGGAAATCAGCATGCGTGTCCGCTTCTTTCCCTACAGTAAGTGTCCCTTACCTGGAAGGGCCTGCAGTAGGAATTCTTTTAAGTTTTGATTACTGGAGGCCCCATGGTTGGCAGGAGTGGGGAACTGGAAGCTCAGGCCTGAAAATCACCTGCTTTTTCTTCCTTGTCTTTCTTCTTTTCCCCAGATTATCATCGCCAAAAAGAGAGGACTGTACACTAGAGAGTTATAAGCCACAGCTGTCCACTTGGAATCTTCTAGGACAAGCTGGCCAGGCCTCAGGGAAGCCACATACACTCTTGTAGAGTCTCATACACTTTGGAGACTCCAAGGGGACCCTGTTTTCCCTCCTGCCCCTCCTATTCTCCAAAAAGTAAAACATGATGCTGAAGAAATGTTGGTGTGACTTTTGGATGATAATCACTGAGTGTAAAATGCTTTTGAGGCAAACATAAAAGCTCTTCCAAAGAGGAGCTGCTAGAAGTAACAGAGCAATGCTATACCTACTTCACAATTATTTCTATCTGCCCAGAACATCAGGGAGGCTTGGGAACCTTAGTTGCAGTATAACTGAGGGATGGTATGGAGGGATACTGGAGGGAACGTGCTCTTTCCCCATGAACTTGGGACATTTCTCTGCAGGGTATGGTATTAATACAGTTCTGTCTTCTCTTTTCCATGATTCTATGATCTGGAATGTAAACTAACGGAGAGCCTTAGCTGCATTTCTTTTCAGGACAGCAGTCAGAATTTGGTTCCCAATTTCCAAGTTGTAGGTTGAGTAGTACTGACAGCTAACTTCCCTCTTTCCTTTGCCCCAGCCCCCAAATAACCTGCGAGGTTCTGAGTTCCTTACTTACAACCCATTGTTAGAGATTCTAGGCCACACTGTATATACCATGTTCAAAATGCCCATTTAGAATAGCTAGTTTTTCTAATGAGATATGAGATATGGGGTGAAGTGGCCCATGAAATGGCCATGGGATCAAAGTCCCAAATTTGCCTTGAAAGAATCCTGGGGAGCTTAAATATTTCCAGGCCCTTCCCCTGGAGAGTGATTCTGATGGACCAAGGTGGAGCCTAGAAATCTGAAATTTGAAATAAGGTAAATTTTAAATATGGGAAAAGGTTCTAAATAGTAGCAATATATCTCTATGGGGAAGTTCTGGCTCTTCCTAGAAATCCCATCCCAGCTCTACTGTGATACTTAGAGGCTTGGTGCCACTGTTGGGTAGCAACATCCTCGTGAGCAGAGCTGGACCTAGAACTTTTGCTGTCATGCTTCCTGGGCAATTCCCTGTTGCTCTGCTGCCCCCTAATGGCCATCTGAGAAAGAAACTTGCACATAGGCATATTGGGTGAATCGACTGAATGTTGAGATCCAAGCCTCTCCCTGTGATTAACAACTCATCTAAGAGCAGTAAACTGTAAAAAGACCCAGCCAGGTACCATAGGCCTAAGGGGCAAAACCCCTCCTGCCCTAAACTGGTTCTTGCTCTGCAGTACTTGGAGCAGCAGATGATGCAATTGCATTGTGGAAGCATAGATAGAGCGTGGAGAAAGGGCAAGGAGTAATAGGCTGAGGCAAAAGGACCAGTTGTTTATAGAGAGTGTTGATAAGAACGCAGTGGAGAATGAACTGTATCAGCCTTCGAGGGACCCCAGGTGCTGTGGAAGTGCATCCCCTATAGGTGTCTTAGTGGTCAGAGAGGTGAGGTGGGAATTCCTAAGCCCTGCAAGAACTTTCCACCCATAGCCATGAGATGCAGTCATGGAAGAAAGGATGGCACTTCCAGGGCTTCTGTTTTACTCCTAAGCCCCAGAAGCGGACCAGAGCTTAGTAACTGGCCAAGTATTTAAACCATAACCCTGAGGGTGGAGGGGGAAGGACTGGTCCTGGAAAGCCCAAATGCAATAAGTGGATCAAATTAGGTGGACAGCCCTGGCTGGTGTGGCTGAGTGGGTTGGACATCGTCCCTTGAACCAAAAGATTGCCAGTTCAATTCCTGGTCAGGGCACATGCCTATGTTGTGGGCCAGGTCAGTGACTGGGGACATGAGAGAGGCAACTGATCAATGGATCTCTCACACATCAATGTTTCCCTTTTTCTCCCTCCGTCCCCCTCTCTCTAAAAATTAAATTTTGTTTTTAAAAAATTAAGCTATCGACAGGAACAGTGGCTTTTGATGCCTGAGTCATCGGAGGGCTCCAGGTGGATTTTAACCATTGAAGTGTGTTAAGGAAGGTAATAGAGAGGAGACTGGGGCCACATCTCAACTCCCAGAACAGCTTCTAGGAGACACAGAAGAGGAATTCTGACTTTATGATCCCTTTCACCTACAGGGGAACCAGGGAGCTCCTTTGGACTGAAGTTAGTTTCTTGTCTCTTAAATATCAGTCAGGGAGAAAAATTGGCTGGCCATCAACTCAGTGAGGGAAGTTTGCTTTCTCTGCTTGTACACTTCCTACTTCAGCAAAGCTGGAAGAAAGGATACTCTTCTTCCTTCAGTGGGGATGAATTCCTCTTAGAAGGAAGGCCAGAAGCCATGCACAGGAATAGCTGTGAGAGAGAGACAGAGAATGGGGGTGGAGGGAGAGAATGGTGATGCACAAAAGGAAAAAAAAAAGGAGGTCAGGTTCAGAGACATGATTCTGGGGCTTTTCTCTGTATGATGGGGACATGAACCTTACTCCCACTCTACAATAGGATGAGCCAAAGTTATCCAAAAGAGTAAGCGGCGGTGGGTGGCCAGAGCCAGGAGTGCCATGGAATTACCATAAGGAATGGTTTTCACGTTGCATCTGGTTTTAGCACTGGTTTCAACAAACATCGCATTGAGGTCTCTGGGTTTTTCTTCCCCCTCTTCTGCAGAGATGTGTTTTGACAACTGAGAAATTACATAAGGGGCCAGACAATGGTAAGACTGCTTCTGAGTCAGAGTTAGTGGATAGGACTAGATGCTTCTGAGGTATAATGATGCCTCCCTAGTACCAGGAACCCTAGAAGCCTTGAACCCATGACCTTTCTGATCCCTGACACTAGTAACTCCTCCTGAGTAAACAGAGCATAGTAGACCCTCCCCATAGAGACTGATCTCCAGGTATGGCAGAAAAAGTTGTAGTTATACTGTAGCTTTTGTTTGGATCAATCTTGTTACCCACCAACATGATGAGGACATTGTCACCTCTTTCTGCCTGAACATCTGCCTACTTATCTGTCTCTTTGAAAGCATTGATATGTACCAGAGAATGTGTTGCAGAGCATTGAAACATTTAGTGCAGTGTTAGAGAGAATAAAATACCTGCCCTTTCTCTCTGCTATTTCTGTCAACCTCCCTATTGCTTACCTCAATCCGTTTTTCAGATAGCACCCCCTTGTGAGGTCATAGACAACCTCTGCAATAATTGAATCATAATGTAGCTAGGGTCCTGGCTGGTGTGACTTAGTGGATTGAGTGCTGGCCTGCGAGCCAAAGGGTCGCACATTCCATTCTCGGTCAGGGCCACATGCCTGGGTTGTGGGCCAGATCCCCAGTAGGGGGTGCACAAGAGGCAACCACACATGGATAGTTTCCTCGCTTTCTCCCTCTCTCCCCCTCTCTCTAAATACATAAATAAAATCTTTTTTAAAAGCATAATGTAGCTGGGAATTAGGCTGCAAAAGGGTCCCACGGCTGCAGGTGAATGTGCATAAAACAAAGGCAGACAAAGGTAGACAAGAAACTAGGCTGTGAAAGGCTAGAAGTTAATAAAAGCAAAATAAAGAGTCAAGGAAACTGGGTCCCTGAAAAGTGGCTACTATAGCCACAAACCAGGTGGCCTACCATCCTAGGACAGGTCCAATGTCCATGTACTGTTTCCATTAGGGAAGACCCTATAGAGCAGCAGGTCTAAGGATTCAAGACCTCTTGGATTTTGTCTGTGTTATAGTCAGAGTCCAGATGAGGATAGAGAGGGCGAGAAACAGGGAAGGCTTGGCAATTTGGGGAGGCTTCAAGCTTTTCCTTCTCTTCTTTATCCACAAATAGTCCAGGGTGGTAATGCATATGCCTAAAGGGTTGACATAGACGGTTAGTGATAGTGAACCCACACTATTCAGTCCCCCAAGTACCTTGTCTTAGACAGGAAGTCAATTCCAATGGTTGCCTGCAAATGAGAGAGGCTCACTCTGTACCTCTCCTCTACCCCCCAATACCAGGCAGCCTTAGAACTGTAATTGGATAACAGCCCCTGAGAAGGTGATCTTGCTCAACTTGTTAACACTTAACAACAGGTAACTTCAAGGAGGAGAATTCCTGGGTGAGTGGAGCTGAGAAGGGGACAAAACCTACTGCATGAGCTTTGGTGGTAGGCTCAGCTAGTCAGTGCAGTTGAAGCTCTGGATCATGAAGCCAGTGGTGGTTGATGTCTTCCCCACTATGAGGCAGATAAATAAGCTACTTGTTGGACTGGGCAAGGAGGAAATTAATTCTCTACACCATTCCATACTGTCAGATCTCCTTATTCCGCAAGCCCAACTGAGACCTCCCACCACCCTGCGCTCCAGGAACAAGAGTTTGGATTTACATGGAGACCATTGCAGATGTTGGGGGAGGGCAGGGGGCGGTCCCTGGATGGTTTCCAGGCCCCAGCTTTCATCCTTGCAGTGTCTTGCCCCTGTACATTGTGGCTAGCTACCTGAAATCGCACGGTGCTCTCTGTCCAACCGCTATTCAAACCACCTTTGCACCATCTCAGTCTGGGAGCATAGTCGTGCCCACTGGCAGGCGGCTGCAGCAGGTCCCTCCTCCAAAGCAGTGGGTGGCACCTGGAGGGAAACTTGAAGGACCCACAGAGGGCTGGTGGCGTGCCAGAAGGAGGTGAGGGTCATTTATGTGGAAAGCACCTTCTACAGGGTGATCTAATTATTGACGAGGAAGGGGGCACTCATTCTCAATAGTTCCATTACCCTCCTGGAGGAGAAGATAGCAAAGAGATTGCCAGCCACGTGTGGACAAACTGATTTATTAGAGCATTACAGCAGCACTCCCACCCAAGCGCCAGAGCCAGGTGCTCAGCTCCCCTCTTCCCCCTCCTCCGCCAAAGCCTCCTGGCTCTCTTCCTCGCTAGGCTCCTACTGGGTAAAGTCCTTGATGAGTCTGTCCTCAGAGCTTGCAGAAGCAGCACAGGGGCATGCAGGGTTAGGAAGCAGTTTCTGAGCATCCTCCACATTCCCCCCTTTTCCTGACAGCACAGAAGCAATCCCTTCACTGCCTCCCAGCTCAGATCCTCAGCCCTCTCTCAGTAGCTCCCCAACTCACTCACCCACCCATTGACCACACATGATAGTTTCTCTTCCCTTGTCCCTTCCCCAACCTCCCAACATGAACATTCCAACTGGAGGGGAAATAAAAAT